CTGCTGTCCGAGGATAGCGTTAGGGGGCTGGGCTTGGGAAGAAGCTCCAGGTTAAACATTCGCTGCTTACACTGAGCACATCGGTTCATGCAATACACGCACGAGCACAGTCGTTGATCAGCACTGATTTGTGACATGTGGGCGGGTAGGTCAGATGGTCAGCACCGCACAGTCGCCACCCCATCTTCACGTGTCGGTGCCCGTTGCTGGTATTGATGCTTTGTGTGTTTGTCCAGGTCACTGCTGACCCCCATTTCTGTGCGATCTTCAGGTCCCTCTGTGTTGCTGCCCGGTAAGCGCACACTCCCGTCCTCTCCCCAGGTCGCTTCTTTGGCAGCATCTGTCCCTGATCACCATCTGTGACTCTGATCCATTAGCCCCGGGCCCCCGCCCTCTCCGCAGGTGGTCTGGCTGGCGGTGGTCTGTCCCCTGACTGTAGCCCGTTAAACCGCAGCCCCCCCCGCCCTCTGCGCAGGTGGTCTGGCTGGCGGTGGTCTGTCCCCCTGACTGTAGCCCGTTAACCGCAGCCCCCCCCCCCCCCCGCCCTCTCCGCTGGTCTGGCTGGCGGTGGTCTGTCCCCTGACTGTAGCCCGTTCACCGCAGCCCCCCCCCCCGCCCTCTCCGCAGGTGGTCTGGCTGGCGGTGGTCTGTCCCCCTGACTGTAGCCCGTTAACCGCAGCCCCCCCCCCCCCCCCGCCCTCTCCGCTGGTCTGGCTGGCGGTGGTCTGTCCCCTGACTGTAGCCCGTTAACCGCAGCCCCCCCCCCGCCCTCTCCGCAGGTGGTCTGGCTGGCGATGGTCTGTCCCCCTGACTGTAACCCGTTCACCGCAGCCCCCCCCCCCCCCCTCCGCAGGTGGTCCTGGCTGGCGGTGGTCTGTCCCCGACTGTAACCCGTTACCGCAGCCCCGCCCTCTCGGCAGGTGGTCTGGCTGGCGGTGGTTTGTCCCCGTGACTGTAAACCGTTAACCCCAGGCCCCCGCCCTCCGCAGGTGGTCTGTCCCCCGTGACTGTAACCCGTTAACCCAGGCCCCCGCCCTCGGCATGTAGTCTGTCCCCCGTGACTGTAACCCGTTAACGGCAGTCGCCGCCCTCTCGGCAGGTGGTCTGGCTGGCGGCCGGTCGCGCTGGCGCCGAGTCTGCGCCCGGCCGCGTCTCTGTCCGAGGGCCATGCCGACGTCCAGGCGAGATGCACTGCCAACGGCCAGACCTACGCTCTCACTCCCGCCAGCCTGTCCGGCGGCCGAGTCGGTCAATTCAAGAACATGACGGCCGTACACCTGATGCGCCAGCACGTGCAGCGGCTGACCCGGCGCAAGAGGTGAGCATGGGCACGCTGGGCAGCCGCCCAGCCGCCCAGCCGCCCAGCCGCTGCACTGGTCCCAGGGGACGCACGCCACAGGGCGGCACAGTTTTAGAGCGGACGAAAAACGCCGCTGCCTTGCCAGTGCGTGTTCCTGTGCTATGGCGTGCTCCGATCTACCATGCTCCATCAGGAGATGACAGCTTCAGGGGTCTGGCATGCTCCATCGGGAGAGTGTTCAAAGCTGTTCTCGGCCGTTAGGCACCGTCATTCGCTCGCTCCCTCGGCGTGTGTGGGCGCCGGAGGTCAGGCTGTGCTCACGGACGCGTGTCTCTTGGCGTCAGGTCTCTGTGGAGCGCTACGTTTGCTGCGGACGGCCTGCCGTGCGCCGAAGGACGCTGTGGGGGCCGGCCGGACCTGCCGGATCATCAGCAGCTGCAGTGCTGTCAGCCGGAGACCAGCGTGCTGCTGCCCCTGTCAGCCACGTCCAGCGTCACCAGTCAGTCTCGATCCACTGCCTGCGCCGAATTCATGGCCAGGATAGCAAAAGTGCAAGCGGAACAGTGACTACCTCTAATGACGTCTTTGTTTGCGTGCCAGATGTACGAGCAAAAAATCGCAAATAGGATGTCTTCAGGGAGGGGTTGCATTCGCTTACCAATGCATTCTCGCAGATAGCAGGCCACCCATCGCCCGTCATCGCACACGTGAACTATACTGCATTCAGCGACATGACACGCCGAAAGCGTCCAACAAGTCGTTCCCACCGTGACTGGAGCCACTATGGCGCATCGTGCCCAAACATGCGCGTCTGAGCATTGTGTTAACGCCTTCGGTACTGTGTTGTTGGTGCCTGGTGCGTCAGCCCCTGACAAGCGTAGGACCCTTGCCGCCGCAGAGAGGCGTGTCCAGATCGTCCAGTCGCCACCGCTCCACGTGCAGCCGGTGCTGGTCTCCGCCTGCCAGTCGGACCGGTGTCCGGTTACCAATGTCTCGTGCCACCAGGTGAGCCAAGCAAGGGTTACAAGCACGGGGCATGGCTGTGTTCAGGAAAAAGTGTCGTTCACGCATTGTTGTTACCCGACGTACGGTAACCTTTTGTACTGGTCATGTTTCAACAGGTATGGTTTAGACACGGTCCGCGAAAAAGGAGCAGCTCTCTACATGCCCCATGAGCACCGAGCGGACATGGTTCGCTTAAGTCTGATTAAAAGTACAGTTACGGTGTCCTGCTGCTACCGCAGATGTACGCGCCTCAGATCCTGGTCAAGCTCTCCGGCCGCCGACTGCAGTTTGACATGGTGTACGTCGAGTCGGGCTGCCTGTGCGGCTCGCCTGATGGCGCCACCGTCGCGTCGGCCACGCAGGAAGGTCCGAGCATGACGTTACTGTCGCCGACGCAGTCCAGTTCGCATCTACCGGGTGGCGGGTCGCCGGAGATCGCCGCCACGGAGGGGCGGAACGCGCTGTCGTTGGAGGTGACCGCCACAGAGGCGTCCGACCCTCTGCCGCCGGAGATCGCGGCCGCGGAGGAGCGGGACGCGCTGTCGTTGGAGGTGACCGCCACAGAGGCGTCCGACCCTCTGCCGGCGGAGATCGTAGCCGCGGAGGAGCGGGACGCGCTGTCGTTGGTGACCGCCACAGAAGCGTCCATCTCTCTGCCGCCGGAGGTCGCCGCGCGGATGTGGGTCCAGACGGAGACAGCTGCACCACGGTTGGACCAATTGGTGTCACAGTTCGAGGTCCCGCCCACCGCCGACATCGGGTCAGAGATGGCGGAGACGGCCGACGTCGGTGTGGGCTCGGCGCCTCCGGGCGACGTGGTGGGACCGGACTCCGAGCTCAGCGCTGGCGCGGCCCCGACGCCCGAGAGCGTCCGTTCGCCCCGGGTGGTGCAGCCTGACTCTGGCGAGCTCGCCACGTCTGCGGCCTCGTCCCAGTCGCCGCGCTCGCCTTCGGTTGGGGCCAGCGGGGTGGCGGCAGATGTCGCGACGTCTGACGTCACTCCAGCGTCCAGCGTCACTCCAGCGTCCAGCGTCACTCCAGCGCCCAGCGTCACTCCAGCGTCCAGCGCCACTCCAGCGTCCAGCACCACTCCAGCGTCCAGCATCACTCCAGCGTCCAGCGTCACTCCAGCGTCCAGCGTCACTCCAGCGTCCAGCGTCACTCCAGCGTCCAGCACCACTCCAGCTTCCAGTGTCACTCCAGCGTCCAACACCACTCCAGCGTCCAACATCACTCCAGCTCCAGCTCCAGGGTATGACGTCAGTGATGAGCTCGGGCATTCTCTTTTCACGGAAGTGATGAGCCCTTCGCCGTCGGCGCTGCCTTTGTCCACGGGTAACGGGATCCCTCCCCGACAGCCGACCGGCAAATCGGTCCCCGCGCCCCCTACCACTCTGGCAGTCGGTCCCGGCACCAGCCCCGCCGCCGGCCCGAGTCAGGGGTCGGGCAGAGGGGACGGCACGGGACGTGTGGTGGTCGACAGCGCCAGTCAGATAGGACCGCTGCCTGAACCGCAGAAAACCACGGACGCCACGCTCGACAGAGCTCCCGCCACGACGGCGCCGCTGCCGCTGGCGGAGTCCGAATCAGTGGCGACCACGGAGGACAGCCCTGTGGTCACAGCTGGTCCGGCCAAATCTACCGCCCAGGCCGTCCACGAGGTCACTGAGTCGGCAGGCGGTGTGGAGTCCTCCACCGTCCCGCTCGAGGAACCAGCCGATGGCGGGACGGTGACAGGGGCCGACCGGACGGCCACGCCGCTGAGGGCCGATCCCGCCCCGTCGAGTCACCACCCCCAGAGCACCGTCAACACCATCACATTCGCCCCGGCGGAGACGACGACGACGCCGGCGGACCCGGCAGAGCTCCACCGGGCGGCGCTGCCGTCCAGCAGCGAGCACCGCCCGCATAACCTCAGTCAGGCGCTCGACTTCCTGTCACGGGCGATCAGCGCCGTGCGCCGCCAGGAGGCGAGCGCGCTGGCGGCGCCGCTCGGCGACGACCGCTGGCGGCTGGCTCGACTGCTGGCCGTCTCCTACACGCTCGGCAGCCGGCAGTGCGTGCCGGCAGCGGCGGCGGCGCCAGTAGAGGCGAGGCGCAACGACAGCGACGCGACGACAGCCAGCGACGCGACGCCGCCGGCTGGTGACCGGTCGGATCGGCTGGAGACCGCCGTCCGCCTGGTCCGCCGCACCATGGAAAACGAGCGCGCCGCGCTCGAGGCGCTCTACGACCGCCAGCTGCGGCTGCTGGACCAGCAGCTGGACGAGCGGCAGGAGGCGATCCGGCACTCCTTTGATCGCGAGCTGGAGATGCTGCAGGAGATCGTGCGGTCGCTCGGTCTGCCGGGGCTGCAGGGCCCGCCGGTGACCGAGGTCGGCTCCACCAGCGATGACGTCAGTGTCCCAGTGACGGCCGATACCGAGGCGAACCGTATTGCGAATGTCGTCCCGGCAAAAGACCCTGCAAATGTGGACTATATCATCAGTTTACCCGTGAGAGGTAACGATTCTGGTGATGATGACCCGACCAATGCAGTCAATGAAGTTAACACTTCCGCCAAGAATAACAGCGAAGCCAGCCGCGACTCCGTGACATTGCCCAGCACATCACTCCTGCCCGCTCACCCTCCAGAGTGTAAGCTAGCCGAAGACGACAACGACCACCAAAAGATCATGGAGCAGCTCAACGTGCTGGTCAGGGTGCTGTTTGACATTGGACTGAAGTTCTTCAGCTCCTACCGGCCGGAGGAGCCGCTGCCACGGGCCACGGCCGCGCTGCCTCGCACGGCGTCTGCCGGGTCGCCGGCAAGCATGCGTCTTGAACAGAAGCTTCACTACGTGAGCGGCAGCGCTTCCCGCTTCAGCTTCGCACTGGACGACTTGGAGCGTCAGCTGGCGCACGTGCACCAGATGCGCAGGTTGCTGAGACTGGGCCTAGGCGGCCCGCCCCTGGAGCCGCTCCAGTTCGACTTCCACCTGCCGCAGGCGACGGCCGCCATGCTGCGCTGTTTTGTAGAGCCGCTGCCCGACTTCCGGCTGGTTGGCAACCTGACTGCCAACTTCAGCCCGCTGCCGGTGGAGCCGATGTCGGTGCGTCTGCAGGTGCGTAACCACAGCACATGCCATCAGGCGTGCACACCGATCACATACAGGCTGGTACCTGGCTCGTTAGACATCAGGCGATGTGGCCAAGGCCTACCATATCGCCTTTTTGGAGAACAGCAGCTGCAGACCAGGTATGGGCGTGGGCTCGAAAAAGAGATCCTGGGTCACAGGAAACATTGCAGGACCATTTCACACAATTTTTGAAAGAGGAGGATCCCTCCCGACAATAAGCAAATGTCTCAGTAACTGGAGATCCTTTGGCATGCGAGTAGATGCTGTTATCGCCGTTTGTAATCAAGGGACCAGCACCCCGGAAAAATTGATCCTGAGGGGCCCTGAACAATTTCTTGATTAACCAGAATCTTCTGTCCCGTGTAGGACATTTCGATGCGGTCACAGTCAGTTCAACAATATACTCTCTTCTTGGCAGATTTTGGGAATGCAATCTTGTAATTAAACTGAAAATTACTTGTTTCTAGGCAGTTTCTTGAAGGATGCGTGGCAGCGCTGACTTACTCCAAACAGCCTCTTGCATCCAACCTATATGAACCGGGACAGATAAGCCGGCCTACGCTGGGAACGCAGATCAATTTTGAAAGTTTTCAACCGAAATTGATCATGGAAGGTCGTGCAAAAATTGAATGATAAATCCTGGACGACCATTGTGACAAATTAGACAGCAACCAAGCGTCCTGAATGGCCTGCCCCCTCCTCGCAATCTCATCACCACCTGTTTAAAAGCATATGGAAAGGGACCGGGCATGAAAGTATGTTGACAACATTTTTGGATGAATTATCCTCTGCGTATGATTGGAGGTTCGTAACTCACGATCCTCGGCGCGGGATCATGATCCGGGATGCGTGCAAATTTTTGCTGCTTGATCTAGCATATCGTGGTCATCACAATGCGATTGACGAGCATGAGTAGAGAAAAAGATTACGTTATGACAATGTTCTCCGTGTAGAGCAAAACAGCAACAGCTCCGCCATCCAACCTAACATGTTGGCGCACGTCAACAGCCTATGTTGAGATAATCCTCTAACAACTGAACATTAAACCAGTCGCCCTATTTCAGCGCGGCGGCGGCACGACGCGAGCTCTAACGCTGCGCGTCGTGAGCATCGTGGGCGACCTCTGGTCCGACTGGCGTTTCTTGCTCAACAACATCCTGCGATCAGCGACGGTCGTAGAGCAGCGAGAGCGGCAGAACGTGCTCATGCTCAGTCGATCGGACCTGACAGCGGGGCTGCACGCGGCGCTGACGGCGCTGAACGCTACTGAGCGGCAGCAGCTGGCCGCGGAACGAGCGGCGCTGGTGGAGGGCAGCGTCGAGCTGCAGTTCGCCATCTCCGAGGTAGAGAAGCTGCTGACGGCGCTGGTCGACATAGCCAACCTGCTGCTGACTACAGAGGTGACGCGAGAGAAGCGCCAGGTGTCGGAGTCGGGGCCGCCGGCAGTGATCAGCCATATGAGTCGAGCCCTGTTCGGAAGCCTGCGCTGCTTCCTCCGAGGCCTGGCCGGTGCCGAGGAAGAGGAGGAGCAGGGCGGCCTGGTAGCCACCGTTATCAAGACGCATGCTTCGGCAGAGCTGCCTAGCACATCGTTCCTGCCCGCTCACCCTCCAGAGTGTAAGCTAGTCGAAGACGACAACGACCACCAAAAGATCATGGAGCAGCTCAACGTGCTGGTCAGGGTGCTGTTTGACATCGGACTGAAGTTCTTCAGCTCCTACCGGCCGGAGGAGCCGCTGCCACGGGCCACGGCCGCGCTGCCTCGCACGGCGTCTGCCGGGTCGCCGGCAAGCATGCGTCTTGAACAGAAGCTTCACTACGTGAGCGGCAGCGCTTCCCGCTTCAGCTTCGCACTGGACGACTTGGAGCGTCAGCTGGCGCACGTGCACCAGATGCGCAGGTTGCTGAGACTGGGCCTAGGCGGCCCGCCCCTGGAGCCGCTCCAGTTCGACTTCCACCTGCCGCAGGCGACGGCCGCCATGCTGCGCTGTTTTGTAGAGCCGCTGCCCGACTTCCGGCTGGTTGGCAACCTGACTGCCAACTTCAGCCCGCTGCCGGTGGAGCCGATGTCGGTGCGTCTGCAGGTGCGTAACCACAGCACATGCCATCAGGCGTGCACACCGATCACATACAGGCTGGTACCTGGCTTGTTAGACATCAGGCGATGTGGCCAAGACCTACCATATCGCCTTTTTGGAGAACAGCAGCTGCAGACCAGGTATGGGCGTGGGCTCGAAAAGGAGATCCTGGGTCACGGGACCAATTTTGGGGGCATTTGCGGGAATATTTCAGACGGAGTATTTGAACGAGCAGGCTCCCCCCGAAAATAAAAAAAAACTCTGAGATAACTGAAGATTCTTCGGCAGACCAGTATTTGTGGTAATCACACAATTAACTTGTTGCATGAAACCTAACATGTAGTGAGCATTCCGCTAACTGAATTCTTCGGCAGATAATTTGCATTCTGTCGCATCTCTCAGTGAAACTGAAAAGGCAAACGGCATGATAGAAAAGCTCGCTTCTTAAGAATTCCGAAAGATTTGTTATTTAATCAGAATCTTCTATCTTGCGTAGGACATTCTGAACTGGTCACAATCAAGTTTGTCATAGATTCTCTCCTGAGTAGCCTGCGGAAATGCAACCTTGCAATGCCAGTCCAAAAACTATGCAGCTGCTAGACAGACGGCATTGAAAGCTTGAAGCCGGAAGGGCATGTGACAGACCTAGCTCACTTCAAGCAGCCTCGTGCAACCAATTTGTCTGAAAAAGGGCAGCGCAACGTGCCTTTCCTTGGAATGAACGTCAATTTATGAGCTTTTTACCAAATCGTTCGTGAAGCAGGGATGTCAATTTTTGTAAATGATTAGGGGGCCAAACTGAAGGCCCAACAACCTACCCTCCCCCCCCCTTTTTCTCATCGGATTGAGCCCACATTATTTCGATTAAACGGAATGTGGGTTTTTGATACTTGTTTAATTTATAAAAGTACTTAATTTAAGCAGCATAGAGGACATGCAGAGTTGGATCCAGGGACCAGGCACTGCACGCACGCGTCTCTTCTGATCGGCACGTAAAGACCATTAAGAGGCCATCTTAGGGCGCCGATGGCGCTCTTCTATGACGGCCATGGGAGGCGGCGCGCATTTTGGTTGTGGGGGACGGGGATGAGGTAAGCCATGAAGGACTTGGGTCATCCCCATATTCTAGAGCTTTTCATTTTACCATCACAAACCATTGCGTGTCTTATGGCATTGGGCATGTGAAGTTTACTGCACCGTTTATCCGCCCAGTTGTTGCGATTTCTATCTTGTGGTGAGAGCAGCCATGACTCGTTGTTTTGAGAATGGTAAGAGATGTCACTACGCAGACAGATAAAAGAAAATAATATCTGTGTTATGATTAACCTTGACGCACGTTTTTGTGTATTCCAACGAAAAACATTGGGGGGGAGGGCAAGCCAACATTGGGGGGGGGGGGCAACTCAACATGGGGGGCAGGGCCCCCACAAAAGAACACAAATCGACACCCGTGTCGTGAAGAGTCGTGCGGAAAACATCAATCCTGGACGACCGTTGCGATGATATGAGGCCAGCAGTTTATGTCCTGGATGACCCGCTCCCCCACCCCCGAAAGTGCCCAGGGTCACAAAATATGGCGGCAAAATTGGCGGATGAATTTTGAATCACGGATGAATTGGAATTCATAACTTACGACACATATCCGGGATAATTTGTAAGATGCATGCAATTTTTGTATAAGGGACTAAGCATGAGTTGGCCAGGACAATATGATTTGAAATAATGAAGAAGGAAACCTCTACATAAGACACTTTCCTTCTGCGCGTGGTGAACCAGCGGCAATTACATAATGCTGGTTTTGTTTCCACCTTAATGCGAACTGTATCTCTATCAGGTGGCATAATACTGATGGACATTTAGCCAGCGTGCCAGTAAGGACACATCAACAGCCTTCTTTGAGGTGGTCTGGGACAATTCCTTGAATGTTAACGAGTCACCCTATTTCAGCGCGACGGTGGCGCGACGCGAGCTCTAACGCTGCGCGTCGTGAGCATCGTGGGCGACCTCTGGTCCGATTGGCGTTTCCTGCTCAACGACATCCTGCGACCAGCCACGGTCGTGGAGCAGCGAGAGCGGCAGAGCGTGCTCATGCTCAGTCGATCGGACCTGACAGCGGGGCTGCACGCGGCGCTGACGGCGCTGAACGCTGCTGAGCGGCAGCAGCTGGCCGCGGAACGAGCGGCGCTGGTGGAGGGCAGCGTCGAGCTGCAGTTCGCCATCTCCGAGGTAGAGAAGCTGCTGACGGCGCTGGTCGACATAGCCAACCTGCTGCTGACTACAGAGGTGACGCGAGAGAAGCGCCAGGTGTCGGAGTCGGGGCCGCCGGCAGTGATCGGCCATATGAGTCGAGCCCTGTTCGGTAGCCTGCGCTGCTTCCTCCGAGGCCTGGCCGGTGCCGAGGAAGAGGTCCCGGGAGCGCCGCCGGACCTGACCAGTCAGCCTCAGCGGCCGGCCTCCTCTGCGGCGCAGCACACAAGCACGGCCGCGGCCGATCCGCCTCAGCTGCCCGGTGCTCATCACCAGACGCGCTCCACAGCATATCACGCGGCAACCAAACCACCGCAGTCGGCGAACAAACCACCACAGCCAACAACCAAACCACCGCAGCCAACGACCAAACCACCGCAGCCAGTGACCAAGCCTCAGTGGACGGTAACCAAACCACTTCAGAAAGTAACCAGCCCTCCCCAGGCCGTGAATAAACCACCACAGCAAGTGCCTGTTCCGTCCAGGCCGGTCGTGGTCAGCGACGATTCCTTTCTGTCGGACGAGGACGCGCTGATGTTGGAGGAAATCCTGTCCCGCTGAGGGAGGATGGCAGACGGCCGCCCGGCTGCGCGGCGGGATGACAGACGCTGGACTGCCTGCACTCGTCCGTCAGGTTTTAGGCGTGTTCCCAGGTGCCTTTTACTGACACCGGCTGAGTGAGACCCTTGGCGGAGGCAGGCATTTCTGACAGTCGCCGTGTTTTTACCGCCCATTGATGGCGGCATCTGAGCAACTGTCCAGTTCAGTATCGCCACGATTATGCTGGGTAACTGGTTGCGGGGTGGGTAGTCTGTTGCCCTGTATTTCCTCCTCGCTGATGGGAAGGTGCAGTTGTTGTCATACAGGTATCGTTGTTGTACTGTTATTTTGTTTTTGATTGCCAGGTTAAGGACTAAATACACAGAACATCTTGTAACCTTTAATTTTATTGCGAAACCTTAAGATTAAGCATTTACATTCATGGATGTCTTCACGTCTAAGCATTTCATGTGTCTTGATGTCACGGCCGTATGCTGACCGTCCCACCATTGGTGGTCGGCTGCATTTGGTAGTGCGCGGTCAGGTCATCTGAACAAAATATGCGTTCGTCACCGACTGCCGATGTTTGCTGCCGGCCGCTGCTGCTCCCACTGTGTAATCATGCGCACATGGTTGCGCCCGTCGCACAGGGCAAAACGCATTTGATATGGCTGCCGTAGCACTTGATATGGCTGCCGTAGCTTTGCAAGTCGCCGCTGCTGCCCGCACGTCAGCTGCTGCCGCTGCTGCCGGCTGCCCGCACGTCAGCAGTGAGGGACACGCCGTTAGGGGCCAGCCGAAGAATGCCGCTTGCCGACAAGCATGTTACAAAGCCAGCTGGTGGCCCAGTAGGAGGTCAAATGCACGGGGACACACTCTCCATGCGCAAATTTAAGTAGATTTTTGCGCTGCTGTATGCTGACCATTCCGCTGCGGACCGGGCGGCCGGATTAAGTGAGGTACCATCGGGGGTTCATATGAACAAAGCAGGCGTTGTCCACCGACAACCGATTTGCGTTGCCAGCACATACTGCTCACACAGTGCTATCATGCGCATACGTTCTCGGACGCTGCGAAAAACAAAATATCTATACGTGACATCGCCGTAACTTTGCACAGCACCAATGGGTCCGACCCCAAGCATTGCGTTACGCACTGTCAGGGCGTGGACAATGGTTACCGTCTGGTAACAATCGTATAACGATGCCAGCGGATGGCCTCACAACAATGACATCAAATGCACTCGGTCGCAATCTCCCAGTGCAATTGCATGCATTCTCAACGGGCTGCGGCATTCTGACCACCACACGACAGATCGATCGGCCATACTTAGTGACCCGCCGACGGGGGCGATAAGCGTAAATTATGCTTTCGGCGGACAAACTACAGTTATATATATATAATATATATATATATATATATATATATATATATTATATAGAGTTATAGTGTCATCGAATAACCCTACAGCAGTGCGAGACATGCACACAGTCGCATTCTTCGCATGCAATTTGAACTATTTGTCCCGGGCTATCATATGCAGGCCATTACGCTACAGGCCGCCTGACGGCATTTGGTTTTGCAGCGCCAGGGAACAAAACAAGTGATGTGTGTCGACGGCCGATTCCCACTGAAGGCCGATAGTTCCCCCACAGTGATCTCGTGAGCACACATTGAATGCCGATAGTCCTCCCATCTCGTGCGCACACGTTCGCACCCGCCGCGAACGACAAGAGGCATTTTTAAATGCCCGCCGTAGCTTTGCAAATCGCGGATGCGGCGACCCGCCAGCATTGGGTGATGTGGTGTCAGGGGCCAAACGAATACAATGGATGCCTTCAACGGACAAGCGCGTTGCCCTGCCAGCGGGTAGCTCTAAAGATGAGCTTCAAAATTGTGCTATCTTGATTATTTTGCTTGAAAAACTTAATCCAACCGCATGCGCAACGGAAGCAGACAGAACAGAGCGTCCTCGCCGCCGCGCGACGCGAGACACACAGAGAACAGAGTGTCCTCGCCGCCGCGCGCCACGAGACACGCAAAAAACAGAGCGTCCTCGCCGCCGCGAGCCGCGAGACACGCAAAGAAAGACGCGCACCGTTGATGAGCTGTCGGCCTTCACTGGAGCCAGCCTTTACTGCGACTGCACCGGTCACACGCTTAGCACGTAGATCAGCACTACACGCAAAGCTACGGCCTAGTCATTTCTCGGTATTCCTGCTACAATGCATTCTTTTCCCCGGCACCAGCATCGAGCCGGCACACTTAGTAGCCCTGTTTCACTTGCAGTCATTGCAACCGACCACTGCGCGCTAACGTCGCGCATATCCTCGATTCAAAAGTTTAAGCCGGCAGTGGCTCGTTATAAAATAAACAACTGTGCATTACCAAAACACTGCCTTCCGGCACAAAAGTGTGCGCGCACACACACGCACGCACGCACGCACGCACGCACGCCCGCCCGCCCGCCCGCCCGCACGCACGCACGCACGCACGCACGCACGCACGCACAGCACACACGCACAGCACAGCACGCACACACGCACGCACGCACGCACGCACGCACGCACGCACACACACACACACACACACACACACACACACACACACACACACACACACACACACACACACACACACACACACACACACACACACGGCTTCACTCGTCAAGTCCATAGCGAGTGGTTGCGCGACCGACTCGACCCGGTCCGTTCCTCACTGCCACCTCACTTTTCGGTCTTCGGCACCGTCTCTGTCCCCAGTTGCGCCAGATGACGCAGCTGTCGATCTTCGTCAGACGTCTCATCTCCGGGCACATCCAACGGTGTCAGCGTTTGTTCCTGGGACGCCGGGCCTGGGACTGGCTCTACTGCAGGCTTCTGCCACTTCACGCCGCCGCCGCCAACAGTGGCGGTTGTCGGACGATCGGCGTAGACTCGGGCGCCGCCACCGAGCCCGAAGCCCGCTGGTCCGTGCCGTGCCAGGACTATCTTGGGACGCGAGAACCCCAGCCGTCCCGACCCGTCCCGAAGTCAGGAATTTCCTCGTGATGCGTGGGTCGGAGTAGGCCTCCTGATGAGCCTGATTCCACCTAACACGGTGCTGCAGGTCACCCCTTCTCGACCGTGGTCGTCCTCCGACGTCTACCGAGGCGCTGGAATTGTTACGCATCGGACGACCGAGCGGCAGCTCGGGGGGCTGTGATCGGCGCTCGTCTGGCTCGCGCTCCGGTACGGCAGCGCCAACATCTGCCGATGCTGAAACCGTTCGGCCCTCACAACACCGGAAGACTGGAAGACAGTCTAGCCGATCTTGTCCGTCGGCTCCACCTTGCCCGACGACTGGGGGTGATAGGACGATACCTTCACGTGAGAGAATCTCACGCCCGCTAGTACGAGGCAACTAGCGCAGGCCTGCGGTCTGCTTGAACGCGGGTAAGATTTTCCTCACCAGAAGCTTCCACTACCCCTAGAGCTGTACGCACACGTCTTTTCACGGGCAAGGTTTCTTTAACCCAATCCGTGCGTTACCTGCGGGGTTGTGCGCATGCCCGACCATTCGCCATTCTTGACCACATGTGCTCACCCGTTACCCACGGGGTTGTCCGCATACCCGACCGCTCGCCATTCCTGACCACGTGTGCTTACCCGTTACCCGCGGGGTTGTGCGCATACCCGACCATTCGCCATTCCTGACCACGTGTGCTAATCCGTTACCTGCGGGGTTATGCGCCTACCCGACCACTCGCCATTCCCGACCACATGTGCTCACCCGTTACCCGCGGGGTTGTGCGCATACCCGACCGTTCGCCATTCCTGACCACGTGTGCTCACCCGTTACCCGTTTGCTTATATTTTCCCGATGCTTCATCACAAATCATGAGACATTCAGAAACGTTTACATCCAAACTCTTTTACGAGGAAAAGTGCAAAGGAAATGTGAATCGGGCCAGTTATCTTCATGTGAAGCGCAAGTAGTAGTATTGTGTAGTATTTCTTGTAAATATGCCCGACATTTCCCAAACGCCTGACCCATACCAGCACCCATTCTTGGTTTCCCAAAACTTGTATCTCCCCTGTAACCCACATTACGCCTGTACCAAGCCGGTGGCAACGATAGTTCAGCAGTGAGTTCGTGGTTACGCGCGGTTAGTTCAAATGGCGTCAGAGGGCAGAACGGAGCAACCCGGCATCCGCGGTGGTGGCAAATGTTTTTTTTTCTCAGTTTTTAAAGGAGTTGGCTACGTCGCTTGGCAAAGGAGGCCCACAAGCATTGTCAGCGCCTTTTCTGATGTCTCTGATGTCGCGGGGTGGAGCACTACCCATTCATCAAAACGCACAGATTTCCTGGTCTCGCCATGGCGGCGCCCGGGCTGCCTCGCCACCGGCCTGGTACCGATGTGATGTGGGTGACAGGGGAGACATCAATTTTAGGAAACCAGGGGTGGGTACTGGTATGGGTCAGGCGTTTGGGAAATGTCGGGCAGATTCTACAAAAAATCCTTCACAATGTTCCGCGCCGCTCCGCCGTCGGCCCTCCGGTGACGTCATCGGCACGGGTGCCAAGCGGCTCGCAAGCCAGGCAAGCTCCATAGAAGCCCGTACATTTGAGCAAGGCGAACGCAAATTGGCAAATACCGCCTATTGAGCGTCCGGTCCCAATAATAGTCATTATTTCTTTTCGCGTTCCACAGAACCACTCCGCTCAGTTAGCCGGTGTATTCATAATCATTTCCAGTCACCAACAAAACAACTCCGGTAACTCGAACCAACAATCTAACATCATTTGGCCCAACGAATACAATCGCGTGTCAGCCAGGGCTGCGGGCCCGCTGTTCTCACCAGCGCCGGGACGCTGGTCGCCCGTGCGGGCCTGCGCCCGGCCACTGTGCCGCTCTTGTGCGTCGGGCCCGGCTGTCGCCACGCGCCGCGACCGACGCCGGACCCGCGCGGCCCGCCGACAGCCGTCGGGGCGATCAGAGGGTGCGGTCGCACGCGGTCCGCAGGCGCCCGGAGCGGCGGGCCTGACGCCCCCGGCCACCAGCGTCGCTCCGAAGGCCGGAGCCCGCAGCCCCGGCCCGCCGACCGCCACGCGGCGCCGACACCTCACCGTCACCGGCAAACACCAGCACACGCTTCGGGCCCCGAGCCCCTCCTAAAATAGATTTGGGCGCCGCAGCCGGCGGGGGCGGGGGCGGCGCCGGTGCGCGTCCCTGGAAGGGTGCAGCCCGCCCTCTCCCCGGAATGTCGCAGTGGATTATCACAAACAAAACGCTACGGCGGGTGGCGGCCCGGTCCGGCCTGGCGCGGGCGTGGGCGTCACGGCCGAGGGTCAGCCAGTGGGCCCGTCCAACGACGGCGGCCGCCAGGCGGAGCCGCCTCGCAGGCTGGCCCACTCCACCCGATAGAGGGCGGCGCCGTCACCGCGGCCGCCAGATCTGGGAAGTTACAGTGGTGTACAGAGACACTCTACAGACCGCACGGCCTACTTCAAGGGGCACGAGAGGGGAGGGGGGGGAGGTGAAATTGGCCCGTGAAGGTGTGGTCCAGTCTAAAATCGCTCCAACAGAGCGCCCGCCACGCGACCACCACAGGCCCGCCGACCGGGGCCGGACTAGTACAAACACCTGCCCGCCTCGGTAAGGGCACAACCACAACGCACGAAGCCCATCCCGCCACGCATGCCGTCCTTATTGCACAAATCGGTCCATGCGCGCGACGCGAGGGTAGAGAGCCCGGCGGCGGCGCCCGGCTCGACCGCCCAATATCACCCCTACAGTACAACAGCAGCTCGCCGCCGAGTCCAGGCGCCAGCACCGCCCGCGCCGGCCGCTCACAGCTGGTACCACTTCTTGTCTTTGTAGCGCATCATTAGCTGGTGTGCGGTCGAGGAGAAGTTGTCGGCGTCGGCCATCATCTGCTCGGTGCGGTCCTCCAGCTTGGAGAGCTTCTGGCCGCGCTCGACCATCAGCTGGCGGGCGCGGCCCACCTCGCCGCCGCTCGTGGCCACGCGCGCCTGCAGCTGCTCCGCCTGCGCTGTCGGACCCGTCAGTAGCTTGGCCACGCTGCGCGACGCCTTGCCTGACGTCTCGCCAACTGCGGAATACCGCGCATATCAGCGGGAGCACACGCCAGCGGGAGCACACGTCAGTGGGAGCGCACGTCAGTTGGAGCACACGCCAGTGGGAGCACACGTCAGTGGAGGTTACGTCAGCGGGAGCACACGCCAGCGGGAGCACACGCCAGTGGAGGCGCACGTCAGCGGGAGCACACGCCAGTAGGAACACACGTCAGTGGGAGCACACGCCAGTGGAGGTCACGCCAGCAGGAGCACACGTCAGTGGGAACACACGCTAGTGGAGGCGTACGTCAGCGGGAGCACACGCCCACAGGAGTGCACGCCAGTGTCAGCCGGCCGCGCTGGACCGACGGCCGGGCGCCTCCCGTCACGCCCGCGGCACAGCGGCCTGCTCACACCGTGGCTGCCGAGCTCACCCGGCCACGGACTGTCCTGACGATTCCAGGGTGTCAGTCTAACCGCTGGTGGAATTCGCCTTTCCTTAAGTCTTCCCACCCGCGCACCGCGAACCGCAACGCCTTAGCATGGGCCAAAAGACGGCAGCGGCCCAGCATGACAACCTTAACGGAACAGCGGCGTCAGTCGACCGGCCAGCAGAGCTGGACACCGACCACTGAGATAAAACAGTTAAGTCCGTTAGTAGTCTCCGAATTGCACACAGATCCAGCAGTTGAATTTTCGGCGCCAGCGCCAGCACAATTAAAGCCTAACATATTTCACGGGCTTTATCCCACACAATCCGGTGAAGTGAAATGTAGCACCGGTCTCTACGGCAATCCAATGCCGTAATAAACTAATAAAGATCTAGTAAATACAAATAATGGGCTGCCAGACCGGGGGACTGCTTCCTATATGCAGCGTGAGGTCGTCCAGACCGCTCAGGGGGGGGGGGGGGGGCGCATCCGTCCTCCGACCCGCAGGAGCCCCGCCGCTCCGTGTCTTAGTCACATCCTCTCTCCGCCCGGGTTGAAACTGGCGCCTAATCCCTCCTTCAGCAGCACGGCGAAGACCAGCGCGCACCGGCCGCCTGAGACGCGCCGCGGTGGCCGGCATCGGCTCCGTGCGGGGCAGAGCGGGGCTCACCACCGACCGCACCCAAAGAGGACGGCCAGCCAGGGTGGCGCCCCGCCCTGAGAGGGCAGAGCGGGGCTCACCACCGACTGCACCCGGAGAGGACGGCCAGCCAGGGCGGCGCCCCGCCCTGAGAGGGCAGAGACTCATCTCCATCAGAGCGACATCTCCGCCGCTCATCACCGACCGCACCCGGAGAGGACGGCCAGCCCGGGTGGCGCCCCGCCCTGAGAGGGCGGACCGAGACCCCCCCCCCCCCTCTCGGCCTCACACCTTAACTGGTGTGGGGCGTCGCCAGCCGACGATATCGCCGGCCAAACGCGTTGGCAAACAGGTGAAACGCTGACGAGCCGGTGATAAGATCGTTACACACATCGATCGGCGGCGGAGATGTCGCGCCGACGGTATCATTAGTCACGCCGGCCGACACACGGCTGGAATGTTGTCAAGCCGACGAGATCATTAGCCACGCGAGTCGATGGACACACGTCGCGGCGCCGAGTCGCCGACACCATTAGTGATGCGTCGACAGCCCCTCCACGGGCGCCGCTAGCCTGCCGCGTGCGGCGCCGCTGCCCACAGCCGCCGCGCGCCTCTGCCGCTGGGCCCAGCCGACCGCCAGCCACTCACAGAGCTCCTCGCGGTCCAGGGAGCGCACGCCGCCGCCGAACAGGCCCTTGAAGAAGCTCTGCTGCGGTGGCTCGGGCGTGTCGCACGCCAGGAACAGCTCGCCCACCATGTCCTGCAGCTGGGTGCTGCAACAGGAGGTCACCAGGTCACGGGACGGGCCGGGGCCGCGGCCGTCGACTGTGCATCGGCGCCGGCCGCGGGAGTTCACCGTCGCCAGCGACGGCTGACATATGGCGCGAGCCACGCAAGTGCCGCCGACGGTCGTACGCGCCTTCACTGTCGATCAGAGTCCAGCCAATCCAGAGCAGCCAACGGCCGTGATTGTCCTGGTCTGCAACATGCGTCTGAAGGGGGTTTTCTGCACTGGCGGGAAAAAGGCCAAGAAGAGCAGCCGCCTGCTAGCGTATGGAATATTTGGCCTGCGCAGAAGGGCCTCTTTACATGCAACTGGCATGTGGTCCACTCATCTTGAGCTCACCAAGAAGCAATCTGATATGACTATGATAATACAGGTCTCTCCTACCGCTGGTCCGGTGAGAAAGGCGGCAATACCGTCGATACATCAAAGCTGATCACATCAATCCAGCATGTTTACCAGGATCGTATACAAGAACCGCCTCCTGGAAGGTACCGGCCAGACAGACGGGCTCCGCACTCTGAAGACAATGACTGCCGTCTCTGACCCGGGACCCCTGCGCCACTGAGCCCCTCCCCGCCGCTGCAACACCGCAGTCCAGGTTCATCTGCGTCTGGAGGCCTCACCAAAAGTCGGCCGAGATGGTGAACTTCTGGACCTCGGAGGGCGAGCACAGGTACATGCCGTGGCCGTGGTTGCTGATGCAGAAGGTGCGCGCCATCCTGTTGGTGGACGCCCGCACCGCGTCAGACACCTCCGAGAGCTCCGGCGGCTGGGCATTCGCCGCCGCCCGGCCGCCGGATATCCGAACGACACGCCACCCATCAGCCACGCCAGGGCCCCCGCAGCCGGCAACGGCCTCCACACAGGGCAGCGCTGGGTCCCGGAGCCGGCGTCAGCTTCCACACAGTGCAGCGCTGGGTCCCGGGGGCGGCGGCGGCCTTCACAGAGGGCAGCGCTGGACCCCCGGAACCTGCACAGGCCTCCACACGGTCGCGCTGCCTCCCTTCCCCCCCCCCCCCCCCCCTCCCCCGAGCCGGCGTCAGCTTCCACACAGGCCAGCGGGCCAGCGGGCCCGTACGGTGGCGCACCATCCAGCTCGAACGGCCAGCGCACGCGGCCCTGAGCAGTAAACACGTCAGCCGTCATTCCATCAACCAGCGAAAGTGAACGTAGCTCGATTACATCCGGCCAAAACCCTGGATGGCACGTCCGCTGTAACCCGGCGACCAGCATCACGTCATCGGACGGCTGGTGTGACGTCACCGGACGGCCAGTGACACGTCACTCTGGCGCTCCGCCGGCCGTGTTCAGTCCAGTTGAGCAGCGCGGTTCGTATCCGACTTCGACTCACCACGACCGCCGGACGTCGACGCTTTCTCAGCGGGGCAATGGTGTCGGGAGCACAGAACCCCTACATCGTGACGGATGGCTGAATGCAAGCCTGCATGCATGGGCCCATCACGAATCTTCCTAGCACTGATTTACGGAGACAATTCTACATTCGTCATTTCAAGTAACGTCACGTACTTGAAGTCTATGAACGTTCATGATGTAATATGTCATACTTCTTTGGGTCAACCCTGTGTCTCAGTGTTGTCATCCTCCACGCAAGAGGCATGTACAGTGTCGAGGGGCAAGTTCCACCTATCGTTTTGCGAAATAAGAATGAACACGTGAAAACTCCGTCCCAACCTAAACGTGTCAAAACCCGATACATGCAGGCAGCGGTGCGGCAGGCCACAGAACGATGACTCTGAAACAAGTGCGTACCAACGATGTGCGCCAGTTCACTGATGTAAATCGGCTCTCCCACAGCACATCACATGATGAAAAGCAAGCTATGATTTATCACACAACCTTTACTCCGCCGCTCGCCGTTTAAGCGCGTACAATTTCTGACATGTATGGGTGAGTGATGAAGTGCGCATAACCCAACAAAGCAGGCAATTAGGCGCGTTTGTGCGGCTGTGGGCAGAGGCTCTCCGGTGTGCTATGGGCCGAGGCTCTGCGGTGTGCTATGGGCAGGGGCTCTCCGGTGTGCTATGGGCAGAGGCTCTCCGGTGTGCTATGGGCAGGGGCACTCCAGTGTGCTATGGGCAGAGGCTCTCCGGTGTGCTATGGGCAGAGGCTCTCCGGCGTTCTACGGTGATTAGTTGTGATCGATGGCATACCAGGGATGCATCATGACCACTTCGCACAGTAACCTAACCTACAAGGACACGATCGATGTTGGCATCATTTGGTGCAAACACTGCATACTTTGCGCACGGCACTCCCCAGGAGGAACAGTAGCTTAAAATCACGCCGACTCAGAAACTGGATGCAAAGGAATGAGACCGTTTTATATCCAGAATGTGGCCATCCCACAACAAGCGGTGTAAGGTATGACTAGGGCAGTGTGCGGTACATGACTGGACGGTCATCACTTCCAAACGTGATTGCTTAACATGTGCAAGCGACTCAAGCCGACTCCATCCTTGTCTGATAATCCACGACTGAACCTATTTCATGCTTCCAGTTTTCACGCATGCCTCTCAACACAGTGCAACCACGAGAGCCGTGCAAACCCAGCGAGCATGCTACCAATCGCAGGCGCAGGCGGATCTACGGCAATGAGCTGCAGCAATGCACAACACGACGACAGCTGGCGTCCTGTACGGCAGCTCTCTCGGGCGGCCTGTGCGGCCGTGAGCCCGGCACGCCTCGGGCGCGGCGACTGACGGCAGCTGGCGCCCTGTACGCCAGCTCTCTCGGACGGCGTGTGCGGCCGTGAGCCCGGCACGCCTCGGGCGCGGCGACTGACGACAGAGAGCGTCCCGCTCGCCACCACCGGCCGGCGGCCGACGCTCGGCTGGCGCCGCCGGCGCGCGGACCGTTCGCTGCCGGCTTCGACGGTGCACTGGAGGGCGAACCGCACCACCCCTCCGCGCTAGTGCCCGCGGTATCCATCCGCCCTACAGACAATTTTGGCGTGCGCTTCATCGACTTACAGTACGCGTCGTACGGCCGCTGTCAGTAACGGTAACAAGCGCTCTTCAAAGAAGATGCGTACCAGCCAAATCATCTTCTGATCGTGGTCCTCTCGTTTATTGCTTTCTACCGCCGATTGTGTTTACGATAATTATGTTTGTTGTTTGTCGTGTGGTCCGGCACAAAGGAAAATAGACGAAGATAACCCCCCCCCCCCCCCCCCCGCCTCCTACACACACACGTTTGCGGAACTGGACATTACAATTTTGGCACTGCATGAAAATAAAAACCCGAAAAATCCCAATGGTCCCGACTATGAGCTGCAGCAGAGTTAACATAGTTTGTCGTTGCTGCTAGGGCTTTGAAATGCTACTTTAACGACATGATACCGCACGAACGACGTTAATGTGTATCATCTGTAGATACATGCATATGCGCCGGCCACTGCGTCATATCAGCTATATTTACGGCGGCTTGGAGGCATGCGGTCACGTCTCACTCCACCAGAGAAGCGCCTTCACATGTCTGTACTCAGCCATTCAGAGACAAGGACAGAGACGTCTTTGGACAGTACAGGAGCCTGCTCAGAACTGGAAGATACCAAGCAGAAGAATAATGCCTGACTTGATGGCAAACCTCATATGGCTGCGAGAACCCGAAGTGAGTGACAAAACAGGCTGATGAAGGTCATGCTTAACCAAACTAATAAGTCATGAATACAGGTGCCCATAACACCCATAACATATCGACCATCTTCCCTTCTCATAGCAAAACCAATAACAAGAACACAAAAAAAACAAGTGAGGTTGGCGACGTCGGCTGGGAAGCGACGACAGCAGGAGGGGCGGCCGGGGGTGAGCGGCGGCCGGCGGGTGAGGGGAAGGCGGCGGTGACGCCAGGCCGTCCTGGCCGTATGTACCACGGCGTCACCAACTCGACCCACATCGCCACAGAGTCTCGCCCAGCCAGAGCCGGCGACCGTTAGCAGTGACCGGCCTCTAGCCAGTATCTGTCGTAGCGCCGCATAGCTTCTCCCAGACGACGACTTGTACGACCCCGTCCCGATTTCCTTATCCAGAACGATTTTGTCTTTGATTTAACTTTGTCTCGTGACGTTTATGAGCAAGGATTAGCATAGTTGGCGATGTAAATCTATGAAACATTCTGTAACATCTGAAAGATCTTGGAACTCGAATTCGGACAACAAAGAGAACAAAGGCCGTCGAGTTTCCAGGCGAAAATACGCGGCTTCTGCATCTGCATTTCCAAATCATCATTGAGAAGGCACGGGCCGTCGCAGAAGTGACTCGAGCATCGGCGTGGGTTGGGGGAGCCAAAGGACAGGCCATCGGTCGCAAGCTAAATTGCCGCGTGGCCCAGTCACGTTCGCAGGCTATGTACAGATAGAGAGACGGAGAAGTCAGCCAGCGGGGAAGAGAAGCGAGACAAACAGGCTCCAAAGACGGGAGCCGCTAGTGTAGGCACGTGTAACATGTCACTTACTGCGTGGTGTCTTCGTTAACAAACATTTGTTGACCCCATATGGCCAGCATTGGGTCGGCAATGGCGGATTTTGTCGTCTGAAAACTGCAGGCATAGAGCGGGGTGAGATGGCGCACCGGCTGGGCGGCAGCGGGCCGGCGAGAGCGCGAGCTAGAGAGAGAGAGACAGACAGACAGACGAGGACAGTGTTCAGTGTGTGAGCGAGCGAGCGAGCGCGCCGCTCGGACGCCAACACTCATCCGTGTCCGTGTCCGTGTCCGGGTGTGGCATGCTCATGCCTGCGGGCGTGAGTGTCCGGAGGCCTGGGCCGGGTAGAAGGAGGAGGGTGGGGGCGGCGCAGCACTGACCTGAGGTCGTTCAGCGGCAGGAAGTCGACCTCGAGCAGGGGCCGCAGGCTGGGCAGGCTGTACGTGTTGAGACGGCCGTTGGCCAGATAGCAGACCAGACATACGCTGTCTGTCGACGAGAAGGCGCCGTCGATGGTCGCGCCGCCGAGTCCCCGTCAAACACACCGCGGCCGGCTGCTTATGATGGGCGCTGGCCCTGACGCGAGGCATATCAGGGCGCCATGCCTTGCAAATGGGGCCCGCTTCAGCATGCTTATGTCTCCGAATTCCAATCTAATAATAATTGTTCAAAGGATCTGGGATTGATGTCACCGTTTGGCATACAAACAGGCAGCGCGCCGCTGGCAACGCAAGCAAACACTATTAGTATTGAGCTCCTATTGCTGCCCTAAATCTAAGCAGCTGTAGATGTCAAGATTACACCCAAGGGGGCGTTCGAGCCATACAACATGTAACCACACCCACTGGACCCACAGATGGCCCTCCTTCCCGCGTGGATGCCACCATTCAGCGACCCCCACGGACACATAATTCAAAGGCAAGCACTCAAAGTGATTGCGCTGAAGGCCGTCGGCGGCAGAGGCGCGCTAAATCGGGCCCACCGAGCGGGCGGCCCCAGCGCGGAGCGGGCGCCGGCGAGGGAGCGGCCACGCGCCGCCGACCTTTCAGAGAGACGATGTCAGCGCGGACCACGAATGATGTGTCGGTGATCTGCAGCTTGCAGAGGCAGCTGTGCGCCGGCGTGGCCAGCACGCGCGCCTGCTTGTCCGAGACGAGCACGAGCAGCTGGCCGTCGCCCACCTCGCTGATCGAGCCGGACGAGCTCACCGTCGGCCGTGACGGCGTGCCTGCGGCGCCGGCGGGGGAGCGGTCAGGCGGCGCGGGCGCGGTCTCGGCGGACGCGGAGCCGACACCCCACGCTCAGCAGACCCGCCCCCTCCCCCCCCCCCCCCCCCCAGATCGCTCGCGGCGATGCCGTCCATCGTCCGGCATTAGCTCGGACACATGTGAAGAAACGGCGCCGCCCGGCGACGCTCGCTCCACGGGACAGCCGTGAATTAGGGCCGCCAGCGCCGCCGGCTTTACACTGGGTGGACAACATATCTAGCCTTGGAGACGGCGCCGGATCGGGTCGGGTGGGAACGAGACTCCGGATCGGACCCGGCTCGGGCGGGGTCGGGCGGGATCGGACCCGGCTCAGGCGGAGTCAGGCGGGATCGGACCCGGCTCGGGCGGGGTCGGGCGGGATCGGACCCGTCTTGGGCGGGGTCGGGTGGGATCGGACGCGGCTCGGGCGGAGTCAGGTGGGGGGCGGGGTCGGGCGGAGTCGGGCGGGATCGGACGCGGCCCTGGCGAGGTCGGACGGAATCGGACGCGGTCGGGCGGGGCCGGCCGGAATCGGACGGGGTCGGGCGGGGTCGGGCGGAATCGGACGCGGCTCGGGAGGGCGCCTTGACTCTCTAGACTAACTACAACTGGCCCTCGTTACCAAGGCCCAACAATGCATCCCCGACCTTACTGCATTATGACGTCCATACTAAGGTACCTGAACATTGTCGCAGTCGTGGCTTTAGTCGGGTCTCCACGCCCCGTTTAAATGCCCCTGGTACGCCCAACGTAAATACTCTGGCCCCTACACATTATGCACTGACATGGTGTGCTAGAGGAAAGAGCTGCCTGGTGGCACAGCGGTGGCACAGCTGGAATGATGAGCTCCAGGTGGTCACCACGCGGTTGGCTTAGGAGCCCCTCCCCCTCCCAGACGTGCTCAGGACCTCGCCAGCCGGTGGTCTGGTCGGCGCAGGGCGTCACAGTCTAATGGAGACTGGTTTGGCAAAGCATGTCATAATGTTTTATAGGCTCTGCAAGCATGCCGGCACGGTCTATTGGTTTACCCCATTACGCTGCCGGTGATTACCATCGAGATTTTGCGCTGCTGTCGCTGCTCGTCTGCACAGCGCCCGCTGTCGTGCGACTGCGCTTGATGTATTACGAGGCGCGGCCCGTCCGGCCCGTGAGCCGAGCGCTGGCTGCGCGCCACCGGCGGCGGGGCCCGGCAGGCTCAGTACTCACGCGTCCGCTCCTTGCCGCCGTCCCGCCACGGCTCGAAGGCCGCCTGTAGCCGAGCTCCGCTGCTGTCCAGCAGGCCGATGCACTGCATAACACCACTCAACCGGAAAATGGAACCTGCAACCGCGCCGGCGTGCGTCACACCACACACCGCCGTCAATATCGTACGGGTGCGAGTCGGATGCGACGAGGTATGAACTGGCGACGGCGCCGGCCCGTAGAGCGCCCTGGCTGGCAGCCGGGAAACGAACGGCACCGCCCCGCCGGCGCTCTGCTGACGACCCATGGCTGGGGCGGCCGCGACCCGACCAGGCTGAGCGCGCTCGTGTCTTTGATGCGTGTGCTGGTTGGACGTTAGCGACGGCGGCAGCGGGCCGGCGGGCTGACAACGTGTGACTATCACAGGCGCAGCAGACAGCACCGCTAACAGTGCGTCACCTTACACATGGAAAGCCAGCCGGCCTGCGCGGCTTTTAGAGCCGACAAGATTTATTCGGCTCTTTGATAGTGAGCACTGTCCTGAAAGTCATGCTCGTAGGCCATTTGGAGATTGGTCCCTTGGGGACTCGTAGACCTGTCCTGCGTACACCTGAAGGGCCTGTGCTGGCAGACAATGTCACCAGGCGTTGGAGGGGGGGGGGGCTTACCGATCTTGGGGGAGGTGACACGATGTGTCAGGGACATTGACAAGTCGGGGCGAAAAAGATATGTCGCGGACGCGACAACTCGTTGTGATGGCCCGAC